ACTTGATTTTACTTTCTAGATGCCTTCTTGTATTATGATTAGAGAAGCGTATGATGTTTTATTCAGGATTTGCCTAATTGAAAGTGGATTAAGTAGTGTTAAATATACCTTGTGATAAGGAACAGATCTTGGTTAGTACCATTGCAGTATCAATCATCTGTAAATCTTGTAGAATTGTCATGTACAGTGTTAAAAATTAACTATAAGCAAATTTAAACCAGTTTGATTCTACCATTGCAGATTTTTTACGGTGAATTGGGGAGTCTTGGAGATTATATACCTCCTGGTCTCTTTTTCTTATGTGGTCGTGCTTGAGAGGCTTTTTGTATGACATAAATGCTCTAGATCAGAGAAAAGGTTTAACATGAAGTTATCAAATATTCCGCAACGATATGTGATAGTCTTCTTAACTTTTCTCAGCACCTCCGTGTGTTACATAGAGCGTGTTGGCTTCTCTATTGCATATACAGTTGCTGCAGATGCTGCTGGGATCAATCAGTCAAGCAAAGGAACCATACTTGCCACATTCTTTGTTGGCTATGCGTGTTCTCAAGTCCCTGGCGGTTGGGCAGCTCAGAAAATTGGGGGAAGGAAAGTTCTCCTTCTGTCATTTGTTTTATGGTCATCGACGTGTTTCTTGGTTCCGCTTGATCCAAACAGAGTCGGGCTCTTGGTTGTTGCCCGTTTACTTGTTGGTGTAGCCCAAGGTTTCATCTTTCCCTCTATCCACACAGTTTTGGCTCAGTGGGTTCCTCCTCATGAAAGGTCTAGATTAGTTTCAATAACGACCTCGGGAATGTATCTAGGCGCAGCTTTAGGAATGTGGTTTCTCCCTGTTTTAGTTGAGCTTAGAGGTCCGGAATCAGTTTTCTTAGCAGAAGCATTAGCAGGTGTCATATGGTCATTGCTTTGGGTTAGGTACGCCACTGACCCACCTCGATCCGAGCATCCAAAAGCCGCTGCTGCTGGATTCGGAGGTGCTCTATTGCCAACTAATGTAAACCAGCATAAAGTTACTCATATCCCATGGAAGAAAATCCTGCTCAGTTTACCCGTTTGGGCGATTGTGGTTAACAATTTCACATTCCATTATGCTTTATATGTGCTCATGAACTGGCTTCCGACCTATTTTGAGCTTGGACTCCAGATCAGTCTTCAGGGAATGGATTCATCCAAGATGGTGCCATACCTCAACATGTTTGTATTCTCCATTGTTGGTGGTTTTGTCGCAGACTATTTGATCACCAGGAGAATACTATCAGTAACCAGGACCCGTAAGTTCTTGAACACGGTTGGGTTTCTAGTTGCTTCAGCCGCATTGATGGCTTTGCCTCAATTTAGAACTTCAAACGGTNTGATCTTATGCTCCTCTGTAGCTCTTGGTTTTCTGGCTCTAGGAAGAGCTGGTTTCGCGGTGAACCATATGGATATTGCTCCGAGATACGCAGGAATTGTGATGGGAGTTTCAAATACTGCTGGTACATTAGCTGGAATCATTGGTGTTGATTTGACTGGAAAGCTTCTTGAAGCATCTAAATTGGTTTACTCAGATTTGTCGCATCCAGAGAGCTGGAGAGCTGTGTTCTTCATCCCGGGTTTGCTCTGTATCTTTAGCTCCGTTGTGTTTTTGCTGTTTTCTACAGGAGAAAGAATCTTTGATTGAAAAACAAAAAGATCAAACTTTTAGAGAAACCCTTATCAAAGATTAGTTAGTAATCGCGGATTTGAAGCCTGTATCGAAGATCATCGGATTTATCGTAATGGCGGATTTTTGTTGTTGTTGTGAGCAGTAAAGATCTTGATGGCTTTTGAAACCTTGTCCTTGAGGCTTATTGGCATTCTTTTTGGTGAATAAACTTGAAACACACCAAGAGTATTAGTTTGATATTTCAGTATACTATGAATAACAATTGAAAATTGTAATCTTGGCCCCATTTTCTTCTTTATTATTTTTCTGTTTTCTTAGATTTAATGAATAAAAAATTGAGGGGTTTGTAATTGGATATTGTAAAAGTTTTTTGAGTTGGTATACAATGAATTCTTACGAGTCCATTAAATACATATGATTCAGTTTCATTGTATATTTTTAATAAAATATTTCTAAATCTCTAAGTGAATTTTAGTAGTTTTATTTTGTTGGTCAAAGTGTGTTATAGTTTCATCTTCACTAGAACACAAATGACTCATGCAGTGGGTAACATTGACATTCAAAGACAACCAACGACTAGAAAACGTCGACACGTTGCTCTCATGCTGTTACATTGCAATAAATTATACCTGACGCTTCACATAAATTAATTTTGTTCACATTAAAAGAAATTGTAGTGGAAGAAATGAAAAAATTTATGTAGTCACCCACTAAAAACAAATTTTAAAAACTATATATCTGATCATTTTTAATCATATAATTTCATTAACAAATTACATACGGTTATATTTTCATTCACTAAAACCACATGCCTTTTAACTTAAAAATATAACACTTGTTTAGGCACTTATAATACAAGTTTCTTAAGATATTTTTAAAAACTGCGAATTGAAAAAAAAATATACACTATTATGATTAAGACATTTTTAAACACTATGAATGCAAGTACTAGTAGGTCGTGCCTTCTTAAAACAATTGGATGAGAACCAAAATTATTAGAACAAAACTGTGAACATTTTTATTTTTGTAGCTAGGCCTATGTATTCTCTATATGTAAAAAACGAGAAATTATTCCAGTAAGTGATAAATATGATAATGCATATTAGAACAGGTAATTCCAGTTTTGGCATCTACACAAACAGTAAAATAAATAAATTAGGTGAATTTTTTTTTTTAAATTACCAATCCTGGAAACCAGTTATTTAATGTTCTTGTGTTTCTGTGCAACACAAAATTCCAAAAACAAATTTTCATTGAAATTTAAATTTTTTTTTCTTCGTCGGTGTTAGTTGGAACCTAGTTTAATCCTCTGCAACTTTCTTTAGTTCTCACAAAATCTCTGAAACTCTTTCATCACAAAAACAAGAACAAGAACAAATGCTATTTCTATGTCACTTCAAACCCAAGAAACCAAAACACTAAAGATGATAAAGCTTCAAGCTTTGGCTCTGTATCTGTTTCTTCTCTTGTTAGTCAAATGGGTCAGTTCTGATTCTAATTCTCCTCCTAGTAGAGACCAGTTTCTCACTTGCATGTCGGTACATTCTAATTCAAGCTTCATAAACCCTAAAAGCTTCATCCACAAGCAAGACTCAAGACTCTACACCGATATCTCGCAATCTTTATCCCAAAACTACAGATTCCTGAGCTTGAATTTCACAAGCCAGAAGCCAATTATGATCATTACGCCAAGAACAGATGCCGAAATCCAGAGATCGTTACTCTGTAGCAGGAAACTTGGGGTTCACGTAAGGACTAAAAGTGGTGGTCATGACTATGAAGGACTTTCTTACCTCTCATCACAATCACCTTTCATAATTCTCGATCTCATCAATCTCCAATCGATCGAGATCAATCTCAAGGAAGAAACAGCTTGGGTTGGAGCCGGCGCGACGATCGGTGAGCTTTACTATAAAATTGCTAAATCGAGCAAGATCCATGGCTTTCCTGCAGGAACATGCCCTAGTGTTGGAGTTGGTGGTCATTTTAGTGGAGGAGGGTTTGGTGCAATGATGAGGAAACACGGTTTAGCCGCGGATAACGTTGTGGACGCGCGTTTTGTGGACGCAAACGGGAGAATCTACAACAGTAGGAGAGAAATGGGAGAAGGTTTGTTCTGGGCGATTAGAGGAGGTGGAGCTGCTAGCTTTGGGGTTGTGGTTTCATGGAAAGTGAAGCTAGTTAGGGTTCCGGAAAAGGTTACTTGCTTCTCAAGGTACTTACAGCTAACACAGAAGATGACGAAAATCGTTCATAGATGGCAGTATATTGCTTCGGAGATTGACGAGAATCTGTTCATCAGAGTCATAGTCTACAATTCCGGAGGATCTGTTCAAGCTACATTCCAAGCAAATTATCTTGGAGGAATCGATACATTGATTCCTCTCATGAATCAGAAGTTTCCGGAGTTAGGGTTAGGGTTTCAAGACTGTTCAGAAATGAGCTGGATCGATTCGATAATGTACTTCAACTGGAAGAAAGGACAGCCACTAGAGGCTCTTCTCGACAGAGATCAAAGATACAATGATCTGTATTTCAAAGCAAAATCTGATTTTGTCAAGAACCCAATTCAGGAAACCGGTCTAGAAGGTATATGGAAGAGGTTTCGCGATGTCGAATCTCCTGTAATGATAATGGAACCATTAGGTGGTAAAATGTATAGGATTAGCGAAACAGAGACTCCATTTCCACATAGAAAAGGGAATCTGTACAATATACAGTATATGGTGAAATGGAGAGTGAAAGAAGTTGGAGAGATGCAGAAACATGTGAGATGGATGAGATTGCTTTATAGGTATATGAGAGTTTATGTCTCTGGATCACCAAGAGGAGCTTATTTGAACTATAGAGATCTTGATTTGGGTATGAATAAAGGGATTAATAGTAGCTTTGAGGATGCAAGATTATGGGGGATTAGGTATTTTGGAAGTAATTTCAAGAGATTGGCTATGGTTAAAGGGAAGATTGATCCTACCAATTTCTTCAGAAATGAGCAGAGTGTTCCTCCTTTGATTGTGTAAGACTGATACGTACACAAAGCCAATGTTTGTTGTGTTCTTATTATGGCACTTATGGCTCTATAAATATTTGTATTGTTGTCATGAGTATAAAAGTGATGGATGATGGTATTCCGTTTTATGTCTTTCACATTATATAGTGAGAAATGATAATGGTTTTAAAATCGTATCATTACTTTTTGTCTTCTAAATTCATAAGCAATCTTTTTTTTTTCTGTCATTTAAATTTATTTTACCATTATAGTAACTTTTTAACTTAACGTTTCTCAAATCTTGGCATGGTCAATATTCTAGTGCTTCTATACATACTTCACTTCCAAATTTTTTTTAAAAAAACTCTTGTTTCCTATGACTTATGAGTTATGAACTTATGATCGTTGTAAAACTAGTACATATACGATATTTTGTTTTCTTCAATATATACGATCTTGCCACAAGTTAAATGCTCAATTTATCAGCGTCGCTTTTTGGAAGAAAGATGTATAGTAACAATTATGCGTGGCTACTTTACTAGACATACATTGATCATTGAATTAGATTTTTTCATTTCACGTCCGACAAAATTTACATATACGCATGAGTTATGATTGGTTTTTAAAAAAAAACTTATTTATCTTTTGACTTATTCTAATCATTATATTAATCCGAACGCTAACTAATATAAATCGATTATCACGTTTTTACTTTTTGGACCAAGTGATCTTGTTGATGATTCTCATCATCCACACTGTTAACCACAATATACGATCACAAACAATTATAATTTCATGAATCGCTATAGACTTAACTCAAAAATTCAATTAACCTGAAAACACAATCGTAATCTAATTATTATTTCCTACACGAGACAACAATTCAAAACTTAGATACACATTAGTTTTACAAAGTTAAGTAGATAAAGACATATTTAACTCTTAATTCTATCGTTAAAAAAAATCGATCGTTAACCATTGTTTACAAAAAGAAGAATTAATATGCATTTTTCTATTCCCACACAGTTGATTTCGGTTCAGCCGGCCTCAGAAAGGAGAAAAACTCTTATGCAAATGCACCAATTAAATATCTTTTATATTTTACACAAATTTTGAAATTAAAGATTTTCTACAAAGAGTAAATGCACCACTAAGGTATATTCAAAAGACCCTGATATAAATTACAAACCAATCAATGTAAGAGATTACAAATACTAAATACTACATGCACACTTCTGTAGCACAAACGCATGTATTTACAAGTGCTTTG